CAAGCACCTCCATTAAACAAAGCAGCCCACTACATTGTGCCACATGCCGAAAATCTCACTCCCTGCCTTTGTCCACCTTTAGTTAGGCCAGACCTTCCCTCAGATACCTGATCTCTGTTTCATGGAAACTCAAACTCAAACTCACAGATTTTCTTCAGCTGCTTAACAAAATCCCACTCACCACTGCCCTTGCCCTTGCCCTTTCCCCTAGGAGGTTCCACACTATCCAGTGAATGTAGAAATTCAGCCATGAGCTCAAACAGTAGAGCAGGTTTGATGAGTTGTGTGGTCTTCACATGCTTTTTATGTAGGTTTGTTCTCCTTCATTTATCCCTCTGTGGATTTTCAACTGCCTGCTGTATGCTCCCCTCTGGCGATGCCATTCTGCCACCGTACTAGCCACAAGCTGTACCAGTGGCATAGCCTTTCGTTATCCTAGCATTGCATTGTGGAACTCCTCATTTGGAAACAGTCAAGTCTTTCCCATGTTTAAAAATCGGCACTCTCTCTTGTGCATTGCTTTGTTCAATCCAGCTGATATGTACAATCCACGTACTCACTTCTCTCTCATTTATATAGCTGGGAAAGCAGCAATAATTGGTTTAGTGTTCAGTACCCAGCTGCAACTGAAAATTCCAAGGGCGCACATCACATCAACCCTTCCGTCGAAACATGCAAAGATTTTGGACTGAAATCATTGAACTCAAGGTTGAGTCTGCAAGTGTGAAAAACAGCACCTCATTTACAGCTTTCCACCTTTGCAGGTTTAAGATGCTCTCATTTTTGCTTTTGAGCGACACAACCCTGTCAAGGTACATCTATTAATTTTCTTGTCCTGCAAACACTCTCTGACCCTGCATGGCCAACTCGTGTCATTTAATCACTCCTGATTTCCACCACAGCTTGACCTGTCTTTCAAGGGATTTGAAAATAAAAAAAAATGCCTTGAAGAATGCACTACCCTAAACAAGATTTTAAAGTTCTGAACCATCTACATCACTGTCCCCTTTCTTTTGGCTTCTCCCATTTTGCTTGGCATTGCTGATTGATTATCTCCCTTCACCTCCTCCCATCAGTTACCCATTCCTCATGCAACCTTTTCACCACATCTTTCCACTTGGTCTTAAGCCTTCCTCTTCTGCATCACTCAGCCCAACACATTCCTCATCTCCCAGAAGACCCACACTCTTTCAAACCCTTATTGATTACTTGCTTTGATGCTCCCCCAGCCTTCACTGACTTCCTGATGTGCTTATCTTGGTTTCATCCTTTACCAAGCATTCTACACGTCCATCTCAACATCTGCATCTCACTGGTATCCAGTTGTTGTTCCTCTCTTCTTAAATCTGTCCAAGTTTTGTATACTAAAGAAAAAAAAGTCTCAAATCTCTTGTAGGTTCCTGATCTGAGTTGCAGTGAAGCTTTTCCATCATGAGGCCCTAATGCATTTCTTCCGATTACTTCAACCACAGCTAATCCATTACCTGATTGTATTTCAGTATTTCCACCTTCTGCTACCAGTTACTTCAGGTACTTGAAACTACTCACTGTCTCCAGATCCTCACCAAACTCTTTGCATCTTCATTCTGATCTCTTCCTTCGGCTCAAACAGACCGTACATGGAGCGGGTCTTTGGTCTTCATACTGGTCCTCAACATTCTGCCTTGCAGCACTTTTGGCTAGTTCTCCAGATGTTCGGTCATGTTTTCATTATCCCCTCCAGATGGAGGAATGTCATCTGCAATCATCATTGACCATGACAATTCCTGGCCTACTTGTTTAGTTAGAACATGCATGACATTCAAAAAGAAGCAGTGATTTAGTACCAATCCTTGTTGTAATCGGAACCATCAACACTGTGTACAAGTGACAGCTGCCGCTGCCCATGAACACTGGAAATTAAGCTAGCTCTCTTCCTTTTCAACTATGTGAAGAGGTGATGCAGAAACAACTCCAAGAAGAAAGCAGCTGAGTGCAGAAGTCACAAGGTGTGTTTAACATAGCCTCTTCAGTTGCACTCTCCCCATCCCACCCACACTGCTCTTCCCTTCCTCCAAATGTCCTTTGCCTTGCAGCCAATAAGGTAGGACGGCCATTCATTCTCAAAGCTCTGCTAGCACCAGTCCCCTGTAATGGAGCACATGGAGAGAGAGTCAAAACTGCAGCCCGGGTCCACTAACAATCTCTGTAGAAACCACCTCATCTGCATTCCCCATGTCTCCTTCCGATTGGTTGAGTCAAATCAATCGCACATAGTGGGGCAAAGGAATTTAAATACAAATATCCTACAAATTACTCTTTTAAAAAATCCAACACCAAATGAATTTTTAAAAGTAATCTGCATTTCTCAGAACAATTTGAAGTACAAGAATAGAAACAATTAAAAGCTAAAACGTGAAGACCTAATAGGATGCTAAGTTTTATCTGAAGGGGCTCCAACAGAACTGGATGCAAGGGATGATGCAATTATATAAAGCTGCTGGATCTCATCTGCAGTAAGGTTTTGAAACTGCGCCTCAGGAGGAATCCAGTGGCCTTAGGGGTGTAGATTCACCAGAATGATACCTGGGATGAAGAGGTAAAATAGGGACAATAGGCGGCCACTCTGCTTCTTGAAGCTGTTCTGCCATTCCAGACAAATCATCTGCCTCAACACCATTACTAGAATATTCTACACTTGCATGGATGGATACAGCTCCAACAACACTCAAAAAGCTCAACACCACCCAGGACAAAGCAGCCTGCTTGAGTGGCACCACCACATCCACGAACACCCCAACTAATGCTCAATAGTAGCAGTGTGTACCATCTACAAGATGCAAAGCAAAAATTCACCAAAGCTCCTCAGACAGCACCTTCCAAACCCATGACCATTTACATCTAGAAGGAAAAGGGCAGCAGACACACGAGAACACCAACCCCTGCAAGTTACCTCCCAAGCCACTTGCCATCCTGACTTGGAAACATATCGCTGTTCCTTCACTGTCACTGGGTCAGAATCCTGGAACTCCCTAACAGCATTGTGGGTGTACATACAGCAGTTCAAGAAGGCAACTCACCATCACCTTCCAAACAGAAACTAGGGACAGGCAGCAAATGCTGGTCCAGCTAACGATGTCCACATCCAACGAGTAAATAAAATCTTTGTATTATCCCTGTATCCCTTGATGTAATTAGTAATTATGCACGCATTCACCTCTGTCTTGAACTTACTGTATGACTGAGCTTCCACAGTTCTTTTGGGTAGAGAATTTCAAAGATCCACAGGCCCTCAGCTTGGTCCTGAATGACTTGCCTTTTATTCTGAGATTGTGTTCCCGATTCTAGATGCCACTGGATGGGGAAATACCTTTCCCACACCTACTCAATCTACACCTTTAAGAATTTTGAGTAAAGGGTTTCAATTGCACCATAGTAAATAGTGAAATTTGAATTTTAAAAATCTGAAATTAAAAAGGTAATCAAATAGTGATCATGTAACCATTGTTGATTGTCATAAAAGCCCATCCGGTTCACGAACATCCTTCAGGGAAGAAAATCAATTATCCTTACACAGTCTGGCCTACATGTGACTTGAAACCTACAGCAATATAGTCTACTTAGCTGCCCTCCGAAATGGCTGAGAAAGCTTAGTTCAAAGGTCATTTAAGACTGGGCAATAAATATTGGCCCAGCCAGTGATATCCACATCTCATGTAGGACTGGGCCTGATGGCCTACTCCTGCTTCTATTTCTTATGCTCTTATGAAAGAAAGAAATTTCACAGGCTAGTCCCACCATCCCAGGAGACGCAGTCTAGTGAACCTGTGCTGTACTCCCTCTATGGCAAGTATATCCTTCCTGAGGCAAGGGGACCAATACCCCACAGTAATCCAGTTATGGTCTGAAGTGTTCAATAGAACTGAAGAAAAGATGTCTTTTCTCCTGTCCTCAAGTCCTTTCGTGATGAAGGCTAACATAGCATTTGCCTTCTAAACAGCTTGCTGAACCTGCACGATACAGGGATTTAGGAACAAAAATACCCAAGTCCGTTTGGACAGTGCATTCCAAGCCCTCTTAAGAAATACTCCACACCTTGGCTGATCCAAAATGGATAACAATACATTCATCCATATTACTGGAGGACAGGTGGCCCATGCTTTAAACAGAAAATAGGAGGAGTAGGCCATTCAACACCGAGCCTGTGATTTATTATGACTTTGGTTGATCGTCCAACCTACTGGCTTGTCCCACTTTTCTCCTGTATCCTTTGCCTTTAGCCCCACATGCTATTCCCAATTCTTTAATACAGTATTTTGGCCTCAACTGCTTTCTAAGGCAGAAAATTGCACAGGCTGATCAGTCTCTAGGTGAAGAAATTTCTCCTCATCTCAGTCGTAAAATCTCCATCTTTACACTGTGACTCCTGGTTTGGGACTTCCCAGTCATTGGAACATTGTTCCTACATTTATCCTGCCTAGGCCTGTTTTGCAATGAGGACATCATCAGGTAATCTCTTTGGAGGTGTTTAAGATGGTAAAGGATTTGATTGGGTCCACAAAAAAAAAATCAATTTCCTCTGGAGGAAAGTGCAGAGAAAGGGGCCAAAATCTCCAAGTACAGCCAAACTTTTCAGGGATGCACTGCTGCACACAAAAGGGTGTGAAAATCTGAAACTCTCTACCACAAAACAATGAGGCAGCTGGGGAAGGCGGGGAGTGAAAATCTATTGAAAGTTTTGAATCTGAGATGGACAGATTTTCATTGGACAAGGTTCCTAGGGGACATAGATCCAAAGTGGATAGATGAACTCAAGATACAGCTACAATCTAACTCAGTGGCACAATGGGTTTGAGGGGCTGAATGGCTATATTTTGTTTCCCTAGACCCCAACCAAACCCAAATCCTCTGACACACCGGGAATGAAGTACATCTTTATTCCAAATGTCTTTCTGTCACCATTTTCTTAACAACCTGTTCAGAGATGTTACTGCACAGCTCTGGAGCAGGTAGGACTTGAACCTAGGCCTCCTGGTTCAGAAGGAGGGACATGTCCACTGCATCACAAGAGCCCTCATCTCTTTCAACTCTTTGCAGGAATTGGATCCAGCTAAAGGGAGAATTTTACCTTCATGAAAAGCAAATAGCAGGTGAAACAGAAAGTGGCCACAGATGAATCTGTGTTTGAGGTGTGTTGCGTTATTTTTCACCTTGATAGTGAAGCTGAGGATCTCGATTCCCATGCGGCCAACGTCAGGAGCAGCCACTTCACGCACTAGCTGGGCAAACTGGTCCCGGTCCTGATAAATGGCTTCAACAGTCAGTGTCCCTGTGGAACGGGGTGGGGGGGGAAGCAAGTCAGGTTAATACACTAACACATCTGAAAATTTGCAAACAATTCACCTGAAGGCAGAGATAAAAAATAGGAAACTACACTTCAGTCTGCATCTTGGTGAGGGGTTTAAGAATCATCAAAAAAATGGTTAAAATACTAAGTGCCACCACAACAGAAGTAAAGCCACGACTAAGTTAAAAAAAACTGTTATACACTTTGTACAACATTTCAACGGGTCAAGGGTAGAGTGAATGTACTACACTGCACTGACTATCCGCTTTGAGGTTTATGCCAGTCCTGGAGTGGGACTTGGATCTAGGTTAGGAATATGGGGAATGCAGGATTGAAGCAAGTCCTGCTCAGTTATTGCAGGTTGTACCATGCGATGAGGCATCAAGCAGAAGTCTCTGCAATTCTCAGCAACCCTAGGAGTAACCAGAGCAGAGCACCAAGTCACAGAGCCCTCCAGGTTCCCAGCTACAGGCAAACATCCAGCTTCAGACTTGTTATAGTGAGACAGACATGACATCCATCACTCCATCTCTCCCCTCAGAATAACCATAAAAATCCATCTGCATCATCTGCACCAATTTGACATATTATTCAGGACTGGGGTTAAGATAAAGTTGTGACCTTATCCTACTTTAACAGGACACGAATTAAATATTCTTTCAATTATGATGTGCTTTCTAATTTGCTCCAATAACCAAGACTGTCAACTAAATTAGCTCGGACATGGTTTCTGGAATGCTGAGTCATGGGGAGGGTAGATTCAAAGTTTAACCCAGTCAAGCGATTGGTTAATGTGTAAACGCATGAAAAATGAGGACTCAACAGAAACAAAGTTCGTATGATTTGGAATTTGAATAAAGGACAAAGGGAAAGTAAGACAAAGTAATTTCACAGTTGTGGCTTAGAAGGTAGCAAACTTTCTCAAATCCAGAAGGTTGTGGGTTCAATTCCATTCTGAACTTGGAGGACAAATTTCAGGCAGGCACATTTACTGCCATGTTAAATGAGTGCCATATTGATGGGGGTCTTCTCTCTCAGTTGAGGCATTACTGAGGCCATGCCCAGACACATCAAAAACATGATTCTAGTTTGAAGAACAGCAAGTTCTCCCTAGTGTCTTTTAGCCAATATTTGTCCCTCATCCAACATCATGAAAACAGATTGTCTGTGGGATTTTGCTACAAGAAAACTGGCTGCTGCAATTTGTGTATTACAACCAGTTCAAAAGTCTTCATTGGTTTTAAAGTGTCTTGGAATGGACTGAGGTTGTGAAAAACACTTTTAGAACAGTGGAAGAAATAATCAGAAAAATCAGAAACATGCTGTCAAAGTTAATACTTTAAATTCTGCATGACGTGGAAGCATATTTTAAAGTGAGGATTTAGTGGTTGAGATGCTTTATTGTTGATATCTGTTGCACATATGATCCTTTGAATTTAAAATTAAATTCAAAAGCCAGTGGTCATTCTTTCACTGCTTATGACAGGGAGTTTTTCTTAAGTTTATTGACATGGGAAATCTGATCCCATAAGGTCCATGTTTATAGTATGCAAATCATTTGTGCAGTGTTGATAGAACTCTGCACAGTTATTTCAGGAAATTTTCCACTACAACCCTGCAGGCAGTGACATTTTGCCAAGGATTACTAACCTCTTGGTAGATGAAGGTAGGGTCTTTTAGCTGGGGCTAATAGCAGCCATGATCATATTGAATGGAGGTGCAGGCTCAAAAGGACTGAATAGCCCATTCCTGCACCTATTAGCTAAGTTTCCTTGAAGTGAGCAGTTACATAGAAACAAACTCTGTGATGCGTAAAGGTTAAGTCTCTTATAGTGCCAGAGAACCATAGTGTTGCTTTCTCATTACAGACAGACAACTGGTGGTTTAACCAGAGGGTCACCAGACCTCAGGCAAGGTTCAGAACATGGGACCTTCGTGGTGACCTCAGTCAGTAGGGGGCATGAACCCATGCTGTTGGGGTCACCTTACATCGCAAACCAGCCATCAGCCAATTCAGCAAACCAACTCCCCCCAGTTATGGGTAAGTCAAAGCTGGAAGTTAAATTCACTGCAATATCGAGTGAAGGAGACAAGTGTGGACAAGAAAGCACATCTTTCCCAAAATGTGGCAAAGTGACTCTTTACTCTCAGATTTAGCTGCAATACCAACCATTGTATTAAACTTACTTAATATAATTTCACATGGTCACTGGATATCTCAGACCCTTGTGTAACCAAGATTGCAATGTAGGAAATATGTCAGCCAATTTACAGACTGCAAAATCCCACAGTGTGAGATAATGAGCAGATTACATTCTGCGGTATTGACAGAGATAAATTTTGGCCAGGAAACTGGGGAAAGTCCCCTGTTCTTCTTTGAAAAATACATCATGGGATCTTTTACATTCATACAAGCAGGTAAATGGCAGCCTCGTTTGTGATCTCACCTGAAAGACAGCACACCCTCAGTACTGCACCAGACCAAGCCTCAATTTCCATGTTCGAGGCCTGCAGGGGAACTTGAACTCAGAACCTCGATATGCAGAGGTGAGAGTGCTAGCAACTGAACCACAACTGACAAAAAGTAAAGATTTAAATTAGAGATATAATGTGAAATTAGATCAACTTTAAGATCCACATACACCCAAGTGTATGAAATATGGCTCCTGCTTTCAATGCTCCTGGAATAGGGCTGCTAGTACAACTCACTCACCTACACCCCCACAACTGAAGCTAGGACTGGAGTAGTGGGAAGATGTGCTCAAACACAGGGCAGCACGTGCTCGATGTTGAGCAAATCGCACTTTTGTGAAGGATGGAATCTTTTAAAAACCGGCTGGGAAGGGAGTAAGGCCTGACTGTAAGAAGGAGCATACATGCAGCCTTATTCTTGAATGAGTACTCTTTCAGGAAGAGGGAACAGTCTCTGTAAATGATAACACACCAGCCAATGCTCACTAATCGCGTTAACACCAACGCACAAGCTATAGACAATATTGGCTGCATTACTTATCACATGGACAAACTGCTTTATTTTTAAGGTGGTGGTAGCGAGGAGCAGGCTTGCACCAAGAATTTAAACAAACTCGTGTCCACCAATTACCCAGGATAGCTCGGAGGTGTCCTTCGAGGGTTTGTAACACCACACTTTTGGTCTCCTGTACACTCTTCCCCAGGAACTGCTCACATGCCACAGCTAACAGATCCATATCAGTCATTACCTTCACCTGCAGCGAGATAGGGAACAGAATATCAGCTAACAGCACATGACACGCTGCTACATAACACTCTTAATACTTTAAGGCTATTAACCAAAGCAGGTATTAAAACGTACAGAATTAAAATAAGACAACAGTTCTGTAATACCTTCTAGAGATTACTAAAAGCAGGTGTTAAAAATTGCAGGATTGCATCAGGTATGCAGATTAGCACAGCAAGAAAAAAAAGCAAAGCATACCCAATTTATATTTTAAAAATTCACACTGATGCATAAAGCAACAAAACAGTATTGCACCCTGTAACACTAACTTAGCAACAAGGAAACTGAAGGTAACTTAAAAATAGATTGCCCATTTTGACCACATAATAAGCTGGAATATTCAGATTTGTCCACCACCTCACTGAATTTTCGTTTATGGGTGTTGCTAAATTAAGATGTTGCAGGGTGCAGAGGCAAAACACTTTTTCACAAACAATTGCTGATTACAACTTAACTGTAACTGTGAACACAACTGGCTTGAATGGAGGTCTCACTAGCGCATGCATTTGCGTGAATCACACCAGTACTCTCACTACATCAAAAGCAAGTCCAAAATGACTTCGTGTGGCATGCAACTTTGTCAGTCAGGGTGTAACTGGCAAAATAACTTGGGGGGAAAAAAAACAAGACGTGGAGTTGACAACAAGGTGGGAGGGGAAGAGTCGCATGTGGAAGGGCCGGAGAAGTCCAAGGAGTTATAGAATTATGAGCAAGGGAGCGTGTGGAAAGTACCCCATTTGTTCAGTACTGCTGTGGTGACAGAAACACAGATCATTTAATTTCAACGGGTGACATTCTAAGGAAAAGGTAATGCCAAACAGATCTACCTTCTGAATAAACCATGATTAAACAGCAATAAAATAACTTGCAGATCTGAGTCGTAATGAGTTATAGGTAACCTCATGCCAGTAGTCTGATATTTCCCCCTATAACTTCAGGTTACTTTGTTACTGAATACTTGGGTTTAAAAATCAGTCACGATCCTTCTCCAGTCTGGAAGCTGGCAGTGTGAAGCTGTTATATCTTCAGTCAGGTCCTACAACCACAGAGTGAGAGGTGCAACCAAAAGAGAAATGGCTTTTACACCAAAAACAGATTGCAAGCTGACCCAGAGGTATATCCATGAAGGATGAGCAATCAGCCTGATGATCACCAAGCAAAAATGGCTGCTGCTACTTAGGACCACAGAAACCATACAGCACAGAAGGGAGCCATTTGGCCCATTGTGTCCATGCTGACCCAAAGACACCCAGATGCCCTTTCTAATCCCACCTTCCTGCACACGGCCCACAGTCCTGCAACTTACAGTACTTAAGCTCCAGATCCAGGTACTTTTTAAAACAGTTTAGGGTCTCTGCCTCCACCAGCAACTCAGGCAGCAAATTCCAGACACCACCCTCTGTGTAAAGATGGTTTTTCCTACATCCCCTCTCATCCTCTGGCATTTTGACTGAATCAATGACCCCTGGCTTTTGAACTCTCTACCAAAGGAAACAGGTCCCTCCTGTCTATTCTATCTATGCCCGTCACAATTCTGTATACCTCAATCATGTCACCCTTCAGCCTTCTCTGTTCCAAGAAAAACAGCCCCAATCTCTCCAACCTGTCGTCGTTTCTACAGTTCTCCAGCCCTGGCAACATTTTGTAGTAAAAAAATTCTCCACAGCAATTCCATCCTACTTCCTGTAATGTGGTGACCAGAACAGCACACGCTACTCCAGTTGTGGCCTCTCCAGTGCCTTACACAGTTTCATCATTTACATTCATACTTTGGTATTCAATATCTGTACCAATGAAGGAGAGCATTCCATATGCCTTCATTATAACCTTATTTACCTGTACTGCTACCTCTAGGGGCCTGTGCAGTTACACCGCATGATCTACCCCCTCAGTATATTCCCAGTTATTGTATATTATTTTTACAGTTTGACTCCCCTCAAGTGCATTAGCTCATATTTTACTCTGTTGAACTCCACCTGCTTCTTTCACTTCCCCAACCCATCGATATCATTTGAGCTTACAGCTATCCTCTACACTATCCACTACATGGCCAGTTCCTGCATCCTCTTCAAATTTCCCAATTGTGCCCCCCAACATTCAATACAACCAAACTTGTGCTTCTATTGCTTACGCTCTTGACAACAGCAGCACCTTCAAGTGAACACTTTCACCACTTGCAGCCTCCCCATTGCATCAGAGCCCATGGTTAGGCAATTTGCTTTTCTCAGTGGAAGACTAGAGCTCACTCAATGGGAACTGCAATCACTTTGTAACTGAGACAAGCGACCTCCTGGATAGCTGGGATCTCTCTTCCCCCCTTCTTGACATTACCACAGATCCTGCTGTCTTCCCCCTCCTTATAGATCACGACAGACACCCATCTGCCCAGCTGTGCACAGCAGCATTTCCATCAATCTCTCCCCTTCTCTCAACATACCATTGAGAGAAAGGTTTGCATTTCTAAGGCAACTTCATACAACAGGACATTCCAAAGCTCTCTTCACAGTCAGTAAATGAAGTCTTTGTGAAATGCAGCCACATTGTAAAGCAGCAGCCAAACTACATAGCAAGCTCCTACAAAATTACATTTTTTCTGGATATTTCCTTAATCAACCTGTTCAGAGATGTTATTACACACCTCTTGAGCAGATAGGTCTTGAACCTTGGTCTCCTAGCTTAGAGATAGGGCCACTACCATTGCATCACAAGAGCACATCGATTACTTGCTTGTGATTTGGATTAAGGATTAAGGATTAAGGATTGGCCACATACCTGCATTTTCCTCGAGATAGGATCCTTTACATTCACCCAAGAGCAGATGGAGACTCGGTTTAACATTTCAAATCGAATAATGGCACCTTTGTCATCTTTTATTCCCCCTTTACATTCCCAGTCCAGTCCCACTGCCGCTTGAGTACACTCTCCTAGGCTTCCTTCTCACTCTCTCTCTCCCCGCAGTAAAGGGAAAGACTGCAACTCTACTTGGTGCTTCAATCTTGATGTAATTTGAACAGAGATCAGGGTTGGGAGCAATCTTACCTATTTTGTTTGCTAAATGTTTAAGTGTTAACATCATATCTTCATTCATATTTCAAGCAATAGCCACTCATAGTCCTCACCTTAAAATACTCTAACACTTGACCCTGATTTTATTAGTCATGAATAATTTAAAGAGTTATTGTACCTACTTTTCTTTAACATAAAATTTTCAGAATATTTGCTGTTCCATGTCTCAACTATTAATAAAAAAATTGTGCAATTAACTGTAATTTAGTTCTGAATTTATTGTGACATTTAAGGAAGTGGTTGGTCTATGCATAAGGGAATACCTCAACTTCCACAAAAAAACTTTTACGTTTAATAATTCAGTTCCAAACAACAGACTGTTTGATAATAATCAGCCCTATATCACAATCTGGTCACTGAGCCCAATTCAGGCCAGACAGCAGTAGAGACTTAACCACAGGGAGACAGAAGGTGGGAGCAGGTGGATAACCAAAGAATAATATGTACAGTAAATATGGGGCCATTCAGCCCATCATGACTGTCAGAAAATCACCAGCTTTCTCTGACCTCCATTGTTACTGTCAAACAGAAAACTGCTTTGATAAGATGTGCTATGTAAATTTCAGCTCAGCCAAAACTCTGCTGTCCACCTCCTAATGCCAGTCTCCCTAAGTAGTTTGGGCTTACACAGGCTCCCCACCTGGCAATGCCTCAATATAGATACAGCTATCCTTCATTTGTAATCCTGCCCTTGCTCTCCCCTATTGCTGTAACCTCCTCCAGCAGGACAGCAAATGATCCTGATACACTTCTCCACGTCGTCAAGTAATAATGTCCACGCCCATTGAAGGCACTACATAAATGCAAGCTGTTGATCTATAATTGTTTGGTTCAGAGGTAAATTGAAAGCTGTAGATAGGGATTTATTGGAGGAGCAACTGGCTTGACCCCGGTTTACTTTGCCTTCCGTAATTTTCTTATAGTGAAGAATTTCAAACGTAAATAGGCTACTGGACAAATTCAAGTTATTTAACTATTGGCACCTGATCGCTTCTGACTCAAAAATGTGATTGCTCGCTTGTCTTGGTCCAAGTAACATTGCACAATGCCAGAAAAGGATTATAAATTCAGAGAAAGACTTGGCAGATGGGGTGGAGACAAAATTGGACTAATTCTAAGATGCAATTAATTTCCAGGAAATAATTTCAATTTCTTGGCATTCAGCAGGTGATGCATTCTGGCATTAATGCTACATCACGAAGCCATCGAGCAAGTATATTGAAAATAAAAGTAGTTTTGCTACAGATGGGTGTCAAATTTTTTAAAAATGGAATCTGATTTATACAGAAATCGGCTCTTGGAAACAAAAATCATGTATTTGGAACATCTGCAAAACAGCACTATTTACAAGATCTCAAATTCAAATTACTGTCTGCAAATTAATGTCTTAGAATTAGTATCCTGCCTCACTAACAGCCTGGCCCGGAGTGGGGACTTCCTGGTGGTATTGGTGAGATGGCAACGACGGCAATGTCACTGCTGTTCCCGGAGCAGATCCGAGGAACACCTTGCAGAGACCTTACAGAAGCCCTGAAGCCCTAACTGAAACCCCAATTTGAACAGAAGATGGACTCCTATTTAAGAAATTTCTTTTTATCCTTATTGTACCTTAAAATCACACTGGATTGTGGCTGGAGGGTCTGTTTCTGTGCTGTATGACTCTATGAGTCTTATTTACCACCCTTTGTTTGTTGTAGTTCTTCCTACCAGCTCTACTGAACAGTCTGGCCCTAACTCTCAGGCTATATCCCGTAGTACTCTTGCATGGTGACTGCAGCCGGTTGTGGCTCTATGCAACCTTGATCTGTCACTAGCATTTAACAGAGGCCAACAAGCAAGGGTTGCAAAGCTTTTTGACCACATGCAGTATCACACTGGAACCCAACTCTGTTCACACGTGCA